TTTTTTTCTTTGTTGTACAGGCTTGCTCATCATACCCCATTAGCCCTTGGGTATTTGCTTTCTGTGAACTGAAGCTGCAGGTCGGATGCCTTCGTTGCTGGTTGTAGCCAAAGGGGTCTGACAGTTGGGGTGCCAAAGGGCGGGCGAGGGGCAGATCCCTTCCTTTGCTGGCAGAGGGGCCACGCGGTTTGACCTGGAGCCTCAGTATTCATCCTACTGTAGGGCACCTCTCCTGTCCTTCTGAAAGCAGTGATTTATTTTTTTTTTCCCCTTCTTATAACCCCAGCTTTCTGCCTTTGAAGAGATTGTACATAAAATTACAGTCAACACTGATGCTCCGGATCCGTGACCGAGGGGTGTGTATCTTCTTCCATTTGTTCAATTCCCCGGATGCCTGGGGACACTGGACACGTTGGCTCCTGGCGTGTGCTGTGCCCTCTTTGCGCCATTGCACTTCCATGTTTATGTGTTCATCTTGGCCCATCGCCTTTGGGTGCCCAATTTCTTTACGCTTCAGTAACGTCAAGGCATCCAAGCGATCAGGTGGCTTTTGGAGATTTTTGAGGCTTTCTGTCCTTGAAACCTTCACAATGAGTTTGCAAACGGATGTGTTGAGTGAAACAATGCTTTCTAAATTTTCTTCCTCTTTCAAATAGAAGCGATTCTTTTCCTGCCTCTTGAGATGAAAAGACAACATAGTGAGCTCACTCTTACCTTCAGTGAGGAATTGCTTTTTAATTAAAAAACAATAAGGAATTTCAGGTTAAAAAGATGTACGATATAAATCACCATCTAGATCTGTTTCGCAACTTTTTTTTTTTTTGTAATTGTTTGGCATGTTCCCCATTTCCGCGGGCTGGGTAAATCCTTTGTGGGTTTAATCTCTAGCCTGCAGGCACATAAAATGCATTGCACAATTTGGCCTTTGCATTTTAAAGAATTTTTTTTTTTCCTTAGCTTAAATATCTGGAGCATCTTCTCTGCTATACAGCAGGGTGGCATTGAGTGAGGAGGGAAGGGGCCACCTTGGCTTATTTTTAATCCCCTTCTCCTCCCTGGTGTCTCTCTCCCAGCTTTGGTTTTTCCTATGTTAGCAAGGTGTACACTTTGAAATGCAAATAATCCCTGAATATCACTAACTAATCCTTCTGTTGCCATGTCACCCGCCACCCACCCGTGCGTGCGCCAGGGTGGATGGCCAAGTCGTGCTCTCGACCTGTAGGAACCTGTTGGTGCTCTGTTTGAACAGTTGGGACCGGGGCTGTATCAGCCATGCCTGCTAGAGATGGGGTTTGGGGTTTTTTTTTTTTTTTGAAAAAACAACGACCTTGGGGCTTCCACTTTTCTTTCTTTGCAAGAACGGAAGAGACGGAAGTGTAACCCCAGTGATGAACAGCATTGTACAGCAGAGGAGGCTGGAGAGTCTCCTTCATGGGCGACATCCAGAAAAATGGGTTTGGGTTAGGCTGTACTGAACCATGTCAGAGTCTCCTTGCGACCATTCCTGCTAAGCACACGCCCCCATTTCAGTACGGGTTTTTGGATAGAAACCAAGGACTTCAGCCTGTGCTTCGATGTTCTGCTGAGTAAAGGTTTCCAGATGTGAACACGCTTCAGGAAAATGCTGCACCAGTGTTACTGCTTTAGTGGGGAGCATCTTACAAGAGGGAATCTAAAATGCTCCGAATTAGCACAGTGAATAAAAGCATCTTGTTCTGCTTCGGGTGTTCGTTGCCCACCCCAGGACGGTCACAGCCTCCCTTTTGGAGGTTGTGCTCTGGGTTGCACCACAGACCTGGGCTTTGGGCTGTTCAACAGATCTGAGCTTTGACATTTATTCTATAGTAGTAGTATTTCTCCTCTTCCTTCGTGGGCACAGTATTTTGGGTTTAAATGCTTCTAAAAGATGACTGAAATGTCAGATTAGGCACAGCTCTCAAATTAGTCAGGGTCTTGCTTTCAAGAACTGTTCAATTCCACGGTTCATGGTTTTATTTCACCCCTCTGCAAAAGTAGGAGGGCTTCTTCCAAAACAGGATGAAATACTTTATCCGTGTGCTTTCCAGTGCTTCCAGGATTACAGGGTGTTGTGAAAACAAGTGTCTGTTTTGTTAGGTGGGTAATGGGCGTCCCTTGGAAGAGGGGGTGTGTGCCCAAGGGAAATCAAGACTGTATTTGTTCAATTTAAAAGCAGTGGTCTTCACCTGAACATGAACACATGTAATGCACGTGCAATCGCTGGTGTGTTCAGCTGCACGTGCAAACCCATCTCCATCCTCCTGGCACGCCTCTAGCTGACCATCCTGACTCTCTTGCTCTTTTTTTCCCCTGCCCAGTATTCCACCGAACTGAAAAAGCTGTACTGCCAGATCGCCAAGACGTGTCCCATCCAGATCAAAGTTATGACCCCGCCGCCTCAGGGAGCCGTCATCAGGGCTATGCCGGTCTACAAGAAAGCCGAACATGTCACCGAAGTGGTCAAACGCTGCCCGAACCACGAGCTGAGCCGGGAGTTCAACGAGGGTAAGGAGGGCAGCGCTTCGCTGGCAGACCCTCTGCGACGCTGCTGGACCGATGAGTCGCTGGTGGGGGGATTTGGCGGCAGCTTCACAGGAAACCTGCTGGAAGCAGACCTCCCTGCAACGTCTTGTGCAGCTTTTTATTTCCTGTGCTTAGCAGGAAGCTTCATGCTATCCTTTAGCTGTCCCTGTGGAAGCACGTCCTTGGGAAGAAAGTACCAAAATAAACTTCACGCCTGCCCAGGTTGGATGGATGTCTGTCCCCGTGGCAGGCAGTGCCTTTCTGGCAGCTTTTCCCCACTCTGCTTGTGCTCCCGCGATGAGAAGCAGCTGTTCTTGTGCTCAGGAATGAGCTTCCACGTTGCTGGGACAGGGATCTAGTAACAGGATGCAATATCATCTCCAGTCCATTAATCCACGCCTCAAAGACAAGAGGGGCTGTTTATCTCTAGCAGGGTAACGCTAAGTGCCAGCATCAACTGCAGCCAACCTTCCTGGACATCTAACACTGTTGGTTCAGTAGAAATGGTTTAATCTTTTACTTGCTTCTCCTTGTGTTAGTGAAGTAGCAGCTGTTTAAAAAATGTCCTGAGGTTTTCTGCAAACTCATGGGCTGGGCTCTGCTTTGCCTTGGTCGCTGAAGTTCACATAAGTTCAGCTGAGCATCTGTTTTATTCTACGTGCATTATTTATCTCCTACTGTAAAAAAAAACCCCAGTTGGTGTCAGTTAGCAGGATGTCTTAGGAGCCTGGATCCCTTTGCTGGTTACAATGCAGCCAGCTAGACAAGCCCAAAAATAAGCAAGGACTTGGGAGTGTAAAATCAGAGTGGCGTGAGACAGCTCTGCGAAATATTTTCTCATATGAGAAGGTGCTTTTCTGACAGAACTGGATTTTTTTGAGGGTTGATACCTGGTTCAGTGATGGAGTTTTAAGAATTTATAGCTTGAGGGTTTTTTCTTTCTTGTTCTGAAATAATTATTTCTCTAGAAATATGCAGCATTTTGAGTAAGAAATGAACAGTTCAAACGCCAAACAAATTCTTTAGATGAACGCGTAACAGGCTTCTCTCCTCAGAATTTAGTTGTGTGTTCTAGAAACACTGAAGAAAATTTGCAGGAAGGAAACAATTTTTAAAAAAATTATTGAAAAGGGGCCTAGAAGCAAAGATGATCATGCTCCTTTTGGCTGTTGCTGTAAGCAAGCGTGATTTTTCAAGCTGACCATGAATTAAATGCCTGTTTCTCCTGCTGCTTGAATGTTCCTTAGGATCAAGACTGATGGGAGGGAACAGGAGGGGGCTAGCAGTTGATGGGGAAAAGAGCAGGGATTGAGACTGGAAGGAATTTGCTTTGCGTGCACATGAGGCAGAGGAAAAGCAAGGCTTTCAGCTGGAGTGAAAATCCCCATGGAGTTATCTGTTCAACGATACCTGCTCAGAGATGGCTGGGAGCTGCCATCAAGTTGATTTTTGGGCTCGGCTAGTCTGGGATCTTGGGACACTTGTGTTCAGATGTCCAGCTTGAGAAAGTTGCCTTTGATGTCGGGCAGTGGGGACCTTGGGAAGGGATGCTTTAAGGGCTGGGAGGCACCTGTGTGCTCTGGTAGACCTCTGGGCTTTCGCTTGGTGGGAGATCTTGCTGCCCTGCACGTGAGCTTGCTTCACTGAATGGTGTCTCTGTTTTTTTTGTCTCCTTGCCCTTGCAGGGCAGATTGCACCTCCCAGCCACCTGATCAGGGTGGAAGGGAACAGCCATGCCCAGTATGTAGAAGACCCCATCACCGGGAGGCAGAGCGTGCTGGTCCCCTACGAGCCGCCCCAGGTACGTTGGGAGCGCGGGGTGGTGGCATCCCGGCACACCAAGGGGTGGGGGTGTCACCCTAGCCAAAGGCACCTGGGTCTGGTGCTTTCCCCATCTTCATCACAATGAACCCTGTCTTCCTCTTTGTCAGAAATGAGCTTTTAAACACCCTCTTTATCCCTTGAGAGCAGGAGTTCTTCGTATCTTTTAAGGTACCCTTGTGTTGAGGTCTGTTTCAGGCTGGTCTGGGTGCAGCACGGGTGCGGGAGGGGAAGAGGAGAGCCTGGAAAAAGCAGAGCTTCCCATCCACCATCTCTTCTGCTCACCCCCTTTTGTCTCCCCCAGGTTGGGACGGAATTCACAACGGTCTTGTACAACTTCATGTGTAACAGCAGCTGCGTGGGAGGGATGAACCGTCGCCCGATCCTCATCATTGTGACGCTGGAAACCAGAGAGTAAGTAGAGCATCACGAGAGCAGCCCTTTGCTTCGGAGGTGGCCTTCTTCTGCTCAGGGCAGCGTTGCGTATCCTTAGGGACAGTTTGACACGAGGGGCCGTAGGATATTTT